GCAGCATGAACCAGAAGTTCATCAAAGAATACATTCATAGGATATTACAAAATATCTGGCAGATGTTATTAATGACTTAAATGAATACTATTAAATCTCATATTCCAGCTAAAAATACTCCAATTAGTATAAATTAAAGTGAGACATGCCTGAAGCATGAGAGATTAATTGGTTCCAATATAATTATATCAGATAGAAAGAAGTATGAAATTTAGAAGTCATATTAAGAAGGCATGCGTTCTAAAAGAGTGTCAAGACATAACTAATTGGGGAAAAAAAACCCAGAAGAGGTTCAGGTACCTGAAAAGTAATGATGAGATCTCAATAAGTTATGTCACAAGAGGAAAAATGGAACCAAAAATATAAAGTTGTCTTTGTTAATAATATCACGTGATTTTAAAGACTATCTTATATAAAGATAGAAATTTGGCTAAAAACAAAAAGAAAAGAGAAAAGACACATTGGAAATATAATTCTATTATTTTAATATGTAAAAATTATGGACCTGCAATCCAAGCACATCAAATGCAAATTTATTATGACATATGAATATTTTTGGGAAAATAAAGAATTTCAGGAAGATCTAGTGATTATGATTAGGCATGGTATTTTGTGATGGGTGCAATAATTTTTTTTTGCATCTATTACTAGTATGGCAGTATATGAAAGACGAAATATGCATTTGTTAGATATCGTTATAGCCTATGTATGTGGCTCACTAAGTAATGAAGTTTACATGAGAATTCTTGAAGGATTTAAAATGCTAGAAGCATTTATATAGAAGAAAACCATCCAATATTTAAAATATTATGTTGAATAAGATAATCTGAGTATACATATTTGGCTTAGAAAAATGTATTAAAAAATAAATAATTTCGTATCTTACTTGACCCATAGATCAAGTTATTGAATGCATCAATGATTGCAAAATGATTGAATTTGTTATGATAATTTTGTCTGCAAAATATATTCAACTAAATATACTAGAAGTCTCATATATTTATTCTATAATAATATTTACATATATTGTCAATATTACATGTTATAATTTTATTGATAAAGATAAGTTTCTGCAAGTATGCATATAAATAACGAAATTAAGATTGGATATGTAGTTCTACAAAACTATTATATGATATCATTTTGTTCAAATTAAATTAATCATGTCGATGCAAGATATATTATGGTGTTTTTTTTAGAATAATCTTTCTTTGCAGTTTTCTCAATGCAAGTGAAGAATATATTGACAATTCCACATATCCAGAAGATATGTTAGAGGAAAACATTTCAATATAAGCTGATGATGATGTACTATGCACAGTTCGACTAAAAAGAAGATAAGCTTGAAAAAACATTGGATGGCTTGAGAAATTAATACACTCTATTATGATAAAATGATAAAGAGTTATGCTGTTGATAGGGGAAGCAAAGATCATACTGTACTCTTTTTCTTAACTAAGGTTTTGTCTCATAGGATTTTCCTAGTTGATGTTTTTAATGAGGCAGCCTTAATATATATTGTGTACTTTTTTTTCCTTAACTAGGTTTTTCCTAGTAAAGTTTTAATGAGGCACAATATTTGTTTATGAACATCTAAGGGGAGTGTTATAAATATTAGAATATGTGGATGTCCATAAATTCTCTCAACTCTTGACCTGTCATATTCTACAATCTATAACCTTTCCATTGAATAGTTTTTAGGAGTTTTTATTCCACAACTTAAAGGTTACATGTACCACACTTATATGAATTAATATTGTTATTTATTTTATGTAACCCTTGGCTGAGTTTTGGAGTCTATAAATAGAAGGCTATGTAATGCACATTTTGATCATCCAAATGAATAAGAATACACTCCTCTTTCTCTCAATTTCTCTCTTACCTTACTCATCTCTTTCATTCCAAATCTTGTTATATTTCTCATTTTCATAACAGACAAAAAATTCTTCTCTTACTATTTTATAAGTAGAAACATAGGAGTAATTGTTAGTGTTCATAGAACATTATAATGCCCACTAATAGTAAGATCCAACAAAATCTCCCTCAAATTACAATTTTTTCCACATTCTCCCTCTCTTTATAGAAATGGGAAAATTTTCGGTTAGCCCGCTCCATAGGCACTTGATTACTCAAGAAATAAATTTGAAATTAATAAATTCCAAATAAATTTTTTTACAAAATTGTGTTTTATTTACAAATTCATTGTTGTCAAACTCAAAATCTATTAAAGTGTTATTACTAAATTTGATTTGGAATTTCGTAATTTCAAACTTTCTTGTGGGAAATTCAATACATAGTATTAAAGATGGTAATTATCTAGCTCTTAAAAAAATAGTATTTACATTATATTTTTATAACATAATATATTGGAATTTTTTTTATTTATGTAGTTCTTCAATTAGCTTTTAAACAACAGAAAATAACAGAAAAAGAACTTAAAAATTACTAATCTCAAATTAAAATTTTTATAAAAAAATGTTGTTATTTACAAATTAAGTGTTACCAAAATATGTTAAAATATAAAAAATAATCTTGATTTGAAATTTAATAATTTTCAAGTTTTTTCCTATCATATTTCCTAATATCATGAGGAAAAATGACAAAAATTACAGAAAAAGAACTTAAAAATTACTAAACCCCATGAAAATGTATTATGCGTATGATAATTAGATCTCTATACATTAAGCCTATGCGCATTAATTCAGTGACATTTTTTTTTAATGAAAACTAGCGCATATAACCAAAGGGAAAAAGCACTAACAAGACATGAAATCAGTTGAGGTAGTAGTTTAAGATTATGTGGGTCAAACTGAGATCAATTTAAGATCAAACCAGTCATATTAAAATAATACTACTCCTGTCTTTAATATAAGGCCTAATTGTTGAGTTGATTTTGATCCTAAATATAAATCTTATTTCTCATATTTATCAATTTTTTCTAAATTGTCCCTATGAATATTCTCTCAATCATAATCAAGTAGAAGAGGAAGAGAGAATATTAAGGAAGATGATTATGATGTTCTAGGAAAGACATGTCATATTTCGTATAATTAACTAATTTATCTAACTTCTTTAATCTATAATCAAATTAGTTAAATAGATTTCATATTAAGGACTGGAGGAGTATAATTTAATTGAAAATAACAAAATATAACAACATTAATAATAATTAATAACAAAATACAGGGAAATACAACAATATTTTGATTGCAATATAATCATTCAAACCTATTCATCATCGGTTCATCCCGATTTGCCTGGGTTGATGCCAGTTCAATTCTCTAGCTAGTTCATCAGTTTTTTAGTTAAACTAGCCTGCTCGGTCCCCTTTTTTTTTTCACTGCATATAAAGAACTAATGCTTACGAAACGATAATTACGCAGGGATTATAACAAAACATAATAATTAACGATATATTATGCCATAGAAAAGTAGTCCTCATAGCCAGCCAGCCGGTCGCCACTTGTGCTGCCGCCTTATGGCCATGTCATCCATCAAATATCATCAACTGAAATGTGCCTCTTTCAAAATTCAAATTGGTGTATTTTAGGCAGATAAAAAAAAACTTAAAATTTTGTTAATTTTCATTTAAAATTCAACAATTTTTTAATTTTATCCTTATTTAATATATATTATATATCATATACACAACGTCAACATGATAATAAATAAAAAATAAAATTATACATTCATATAAAATTTCTCTCACTGTCTTATAAATAAAATCAAATAATGTCTTCTCTCTCTACTATGTAAATAGAACCAGAAGAGTATTAAAATTATTAAATGTTACTGCTATTATTAAATATTTTTATTTAATTTTCTTATTTATTATAATATTAATTAATTATATTTCTTTTTGTATAAAAATATAATTGATACAATCTTATTTATATTGTATATAATTTATTTTTTACTTGTATTTATATTATATAATAGTTTCTAGGTATTTTATATATATAATACCTATAAGCTATTATGTCATTTATTTTAATATTTATATTTAATTTTATATAAAGATATAGTTTTAATTATAAATTTTGTAGTAATTTTTATTTTTAAACTATTTTTAATCATTATTTTTATTTTAAAATAGCAAGAATTCTTAAAAAAATTATTGATTTTTTTATATTTTAATTTTATTTTATTGTGAAATAATAAATTTATAAGAGAACATTATATAGTAGACCATATACTAATTTACATTTATATTATAAATTAGTATCAACACAAAACCATATATAACACCGCATAGATAGAGTTAATATATCATTGTCAGATACAAATTATGATTAAGTATATAGTCTCATTCATTTTAGCTTTCTATATATAAGAGTAATGTTTCTTTGAAATTATGCTATGAGAACAAATGCTTGGTTTCATCCCATACTCTAAGAGATTGAAGGCTTTAGAAGGTCAATCCTTCAATCACAACCAACGGATGATCTTTTGTTACTTTGACTAAGATTAGATCTTTTGTTTAAAAAAATATAAAATTTTGGTTCCCTGCGGTCCCATCAAATATCACTAAATTCTATATTAGTGATGAGATGAATCTAACCGAGAAGCTAGTGTATACACAAATTAACCACATGTTTAATAACAAGTCAACGAATATTAGTTGATTTAATTACTTATTAAGTATACCCAAAAAAGATGTTATACCTTTTACTTCTCAAATGAGTCTAAATTTTCATTTCATTACTATATTTTGTTATTTTAATTTTTGCTGCAATTTTATTTTCATTTTTTTGCCAAACAGTTACCACTGGAAGAGAGGAGAAATTAAAGAAGAAAAATGGAAATCACACCACATATCTATGTAAAAGATAGCCACAGATGGGAGAATATAATCATTAATGTACAACTACATATAGATCAGTTTTAATTCCAAAATGAAATAATATTGACTTCACAAAAAGCGTTCTGACCACACAAAAAAACCAAGGCTTCATAAAAAGCGTTGCAACAAAAAAAAAAAGGAAGAAACTTTCCACATTTCACATCTTCTTTGCTTTTCTAGGTCTAACGGATTGATGTGCCTCCTCTTCTTCCTCCTCCCGTTTGTGTTCAGTGCCAATTAAATTTGTAGCTTCAGATGTGGAAAGCTCCATCTGTTCATTAAATGACTCGTTATATATCAGGTAGACTGCTATTTTTTTCATAGTGAATCCATTCCTAAAAACAACTTTCACCTCTACTTCATCATCAAATTCAAGATTTGATATTATTTTTTTCCTCTCTGCTTCCTCCAAGGAAAGAAGTTTGTCTCCCGTGTGTACCAAAGTAGTTTTCTTTGTATAATTTATGACATTTAAGCTAACTATGCAAGATTTGCATGCTTTCTTACCCAAATCACAAGAGGAAAAATACATACAACAAATAGTCATCCCTTTTAAAGGATTATGACCATTAACAGGAGGCACTTTAAATTTTACAAAATCTCCTTCACCTTTGAATGTTCGCCAATAGGGATCATTGTCATCAGGGAGAATACAGCCATCACCATACTTTGTAAAATTCAATCCCTGCACAATAACACAAACACAACCTCTAATTTAACTATACTTTGCAAGATTCAATCCCTCCATGCAGAAATTTTTTTTAAGGGGAAAAAAAGCAGAATCTGACTAGAGAGAGAGAAAACCTGTAAAACACTCTTTGAAAGTGAACAAAAGACTTGAGAATTGTTTCCAATTTGAATGACATGATGTGCCAAGGAGTTTTTAAGAGTTGAGATATCCATACAATTTGTGGCACAGAACGAATCAGGAATCTCCAATCCATCTTCCGGAAGAATTCTTGTAGGAAGAAGTAGAGTTGTCAAATGTTTCATTTGCTCTTTGATCTCCTCAAGGTTTTCAATATTAATACAACCAGAAAGAATGAGAGTTTTTAAGCTTTTTAATCTATAAATCATACTTGTGAGACTACGAAGGCCAATACAATCCTCCAAATCTAGTAGAAGAAGTTTATCAAGAAGCTCAATAGAATCATCTATCTTGGACAAATTTGGACAATCTTTGAAGATCAACTTTTTAAGATTTGGTAGTTTTGAAAAATCAGGAGTGTCCGCCAAGTAATGAGAGTGGCTGAGGTTGAGGATTTTTAGCTTCACCAATAACTACAATGAAAGCATATAATTTCAAAAGGGAATTAGATGAACATCTTGAGGAAAATAAGTAATAAATACGTAGAAACCATTATATGTAAGTCCTTCATCTAAACCAAAAGCTCTTAAGTGAAAGCATGGTTTTCAATCAATTGAAAATCAACTCTTGAAGGGAAAATCAGAATATCAAGTACTTCATCTCGAAAAGGTAACATAAAATTCAATCTGTTGGTTTAATGTGTTAACAAGATATATGAAGAGAATGTTAATATCTACCGGAAAAAAAGAAAAAGAAAAAGACCGAGAATGTGAACTAAAAGAAAATCTAGCAGCTTTATTCTTCAATGGCAAGGGAAGATTCACTTAAGAAGCTATCAAAGAACCTAAAATAAATATCTATATATTGTGTGCGAACAAAAATTGATCCAGTTGATAAATAATTAGCTCATAACCCATGGCATCATGAGTTTAAGTTCCATTGCTAGTATAAGAATCATGTTAGTGGGCAATATCTATAAATACCTTTCAAAGTGCTCTATGAGCTTAAAAGTATGTCCTGATTTTGGTGAGTACCCAATATTCAACTCATCTAAATTTTTCTTATATACAAAGAAAGTAGGCTGTAAAATAATCCAACTCATCAAATAGTAATATATTTACACGCCCCGAATCCATCTTTTATTCCATATCCATACGCTTTGAAGCTAACACCAACAAATTAAACTAACTAAGCTTTTTGAGTCTTACTGGCGAACAAAAATAAGAACTAAAAAATTACGACAGTACCATGTCACAGAGAGTATTTACCATAATGCTTCAAATTTGAAGATAATTTTCAGAGAAACTAGGCTTTCTGTCGTATGGCAGTCTGGCTCCACCCCCCCCCCCCGGGGGGCGGTTTTTAAATGTTTCAAATTTTCATAGTTATGGCTCAAAAAGCTAACAAATTAAGTACTACATCTAGTCGTAAAGAAATATATTTTATAGTGTAATTTATAGTCGACAACAGATTTTATATTTGAGACAGGAGATAGTATTAATTTTCATACCTGGGGTTGTCTCCACACTTGTCTAAGGTTGCTGTATTTTAATTCCATAACAACTAATTTCTCCTGATAAAATTTTTTAGGAATGTGCTCTACAGGAAAGCCATGCCAGCAAAGCCATCTAAGAGCTCCATTGATGTACTTGTAGTCTCCTCCAAGTTGTATATTTTCAAGATGAAGTAATCTAAGTTTCTCCATCTTCTTAAATGCTTTTGTTTCAAAACGCTCTTCTCCACCTTTTGACGACTTCATAGATAGTCCTTCAATATCCTTTGTTCCCTACAAAAGTAGAAGTGTGCACTTGTGTTATTTGTTTACCGAAAAGCAAGATAGAAACTTAGATGTCATGATCAAGCTTATAGAGCATGTGATTACAAAATTGAGTTTTAAAATGCATACTATAAGAGATGAAACCAAGTGATTTATCTGACCAATTTATTTATACTCATCTACATTTCAAGTGCATGTTAACCAGGGAAACATTAAATATTGGACATAGAAGTTCCTACCTTCTGTCTTAATAATACAGTTCGTGCATCCTCGTGAAACCATAACCGACTTCTCTTCCCCAGGTATTGAGACCGTTCACGAATTATTCCTCTTCCCATGTCCCGCAGCAAATCATGCATACCAAGCTTGTTCTCCTCTTGGATGGTTACAAGGCTTTGCTCCTCAAGGGTTTTGATTCCAATGTGAGCAGCAAATCCACAACCTTTTAATATCCGTGTCACATCTTTTCTATCCATCCCAATAAAGAAGCAACATATATCAAGGAATATGTCTTTCTCATTAAAGTCATCACTTAAACCATCAAAGCTTGTTTTTAGCTCGTCCTGTATCTCTTTAAAGGGAGATTTTTTAAGCTTTTCCAATACACTCTTCCATTCCTTTGCTTCTCCACCAAATAAAAGGCGGCCAAGGACTTTAAGAGCTAATGGAAGTCCCCCAGAGTATGCAACTATGTCTCTTGAAAGTTCATTGAAATCTTTTTTAGGACTTGTTTGTTTAAATGCGTACCAACTAAAAAGCTCAATAGATTCTCCTTCATCCAAATTTTTCATTGTATAAACACCACAGTCTCTTTCACGGAGTAGACATTGATTTCTAGTTGTGATGATTATTATGCTTCCTCGACCAAACCAACAAGGACTTCCAACTAAATCATTTAGTTGGGCCGGCTTATCCACATCATCAAGCACAACCAGTGCTTTTTTATGGCAAAGTCTGTCCCTCAATATGATTTTTCCTGATTCAGTATTATTTATCTCTGTTTTTGTTGGCATACATATGTTAGAAAGAAGTTGCTTCTGTAAGCTCACTTTTCCCTCTTCTCGACCCCAACATTTTCTGATATTTGAAAGGTAACTCCTACTCTCAAAAGTTCGACCAATTTCATTATGACCAATTGCATTATAAACAGCTTTAGCAATAGTTGTTTTGCCCACACCTCCCATTCCCCATATCCCTACCATGATAACATCTTTAGATTGATAGTTTTGAAGCATAGTGATCACTTCTTGCACACGATCATCCACTCCTACTGGGTGCTCAGCGACATCCATGTCTTTCTTGTTCAATAGACAACAAACCTCCTCAACAAGATCTGTCACAATTTTACCCTCGTCCCTGCGAATCATACAAGCATATATAGTAGGAAATAAGGATTAGATATCTAAACATGTATAATTACAAAGAACGTCAATATTTTATAATAAATAATTCAGAAGCCAAAAATACAGAAATTACTTGGGATGAAGCACAATTAGCGATAACGCATATATCATATGCTTAATTGATGTTTATAATAAGCCATGCATGATTACGAGAGGAGTATGCTTGCCCTAATTATTTTCTAACCCTAACACTAGGTTTGTTAAAATATTCAAGGAAATTGCAATCGACCAAAAGTTAGTCGGACGTACTCCAAACAACGTGACAAGTCGTATACCAAATATTCCAAATAACATGCACCAGGTGTCTCAATCAATAGCAAATAAAGATTAAAAAATTACCTGTAACCAGGTACGACAATCCCTGCAATTTCCCCAGCCTCACGAAGTGCTGTGGCCCACTTGTGAACCTCAAATTTTGGTGGTGAAATTTTTTCTGTAAGACCTTGAAATGCTTCTCCAAAACCTGAAGTTTGATGACGAACATCTGATGGATCCATGTGGTAAAACACAGGCAGAACCACCTGACCATTTGATTTATGAAGCTTCATGATTATTGACAATTCCTCCAAACACCATTTAGATCCAGCGTATTCCTTAGAAAAGATGATAATTGCAATTTTTGAACTTCTAATTGCTTGTAGTAGTTCCGTTTTGATATGATTTCCTCTGGGAAGCTCAATATCATCTTTGAAAACAATAATGCCAGCTTTATCTAGATCCTTATAGAGATGTGAAGTAAAAGTTGCCCGAGTGTCTTCACCTCTAAAACTTAAGAATACCTCGTACCTATCACCTGAATGTTATTTTTCAAAAATATATAATATCAATAAATTACATTCTAAATTAAAGTATGATTAAGATATAAACATTTCTATAATTTAAGATTATAAAATGTCATAAATATTAAGGATAATAATAGTAATTATCACTGCTACATGCATGTTTGATAATATGTCAAGCACATGCATCCTCACGAAACCATAGCCTACCTTGCTTTGGAAGCTCGTTTTGCGGACTTCGACTTATTATTTGTCTTCCCATGAGCTGCAATGAGTTGTGCATTCTAAGTCTGTCCTCATCAATGGTTACAAGGCTTCGAAACTGTAGGTCTCTTATCCCAGTTCTAGCATTATAACCACGGCCTTCCAGATTTTGTATCGCATCGTCAATCTTCTCCCCAATATAAAAAAAAACTAAATTTAGAAATATGTCTTTTCCATTACCATCCAAAGAGTCAAAGCTAGGCTTTAGTTTTTGGTATATATCATCAGGGGGAATTATGCTTAGTTTCATCAACATCGACTCCCACAGCCCACATGACTGCCCATAAAAAATAGAGCCAAGAACTTCAAGAGCTAGTGGCAGTCCCTCAGCATAAGCAACCACTCTTGTGGATAGTTCGATGAATTTTCCCTCAGGACTTGCTTGTTTAAATGCTTTTCTACAGAAAAGGTCAAGAGACTCATGATCGCCCAGGAGTTTCATGGTATATACACGGTCCTCTTGAAAGGCTTCAAGTAGATGTTTATCTCTAGTTGTAATGATGATTCTACTCCCTTCACCAAACCATTCGCTACTTCCGCATAAAGCATGTAGCTGCTCCAAGTGAATAACATCATCAAGCACAAGAAGTACTTTCTTATGACAAAGTCTTTTCTTCAACTCGAGGCTTGTTGATTCAATGCTATCTATTTTCACATCTGTTGCTTCACATATTACTGAAAGAAGTTTTTTCTGTAAATAAGCTTGGCCTTCCCTCTTCCATTCTTTCCTGACATTTGAAAGAAAACATCTACTCTTGAATTCGTACTGAATGTGCTCAAAAACGAGTCTGGCAAGTGTTGTTTTGCCACTACCCCCCATTCCCCATATCCCTATGGAGACAACATCTTCTGATTGATGCTTTTGAAGCATTTTAATCACTTCTTGTACTTGTGAACTCACCCCAACCAGGCCATCTCTGGAAAACGGGTCTTTTGTGTCCAATATATGACGAACACGCTTGATAATATTCTGAATAACCTCACTTTCATTCCTGTGGATTATAAAGAACAGCAGAAAAGGGAGCACTGATTAATATTCAACCATAATGGTATTAAAAGCAACACATATATTTCCATCAAGAAATTAAACACTACATATAGCATTATTAATTTTATCATTTTTTCACCTTCATATATAGAATTAAAATAATATAAGTCAACTAATCACAAAACCATAGAACCTGTATCCTAAAGTTGTTACCTCTTAAGAGCTGTTTCGATGATGACAAGCATGTAATAAACAAGTCACCTGTGATTATAGACTATGTGCTAAATTAGTTGATTGCTACAAGTTCTGATTTAATAACATTTAAAGAATAAAAAAACAATTTTATATTACTCTTGGCTGAAAAAACACGTAATGTTTCTAGTGAGCGAACAGTCCACCCAACTAATTAATTTTGTGAATTAACATCATACTTATCTTTTAATAACTTATTATCATAGATTGTGACAAGAAATCGTATTCTCTCACACACACACACACACACAAAATATTAATAAAATTGAAAATAAATAAAACGCAAAAAGATGAAGAGAAAAATAAATTACTTGGAGTCGAAATCATCTGACACAACGAACCCATAATTGCCTCCAGCTTCCCTGACAGCTGTCATCCACCTTAACACTTCATTTTCAGCGGGTGAAATTCTTTTTATATGTTCTCGGAATTCTTGTCCAGGACCAGATTCTAGATTACGAAGCGTAGACGGATCCACACCATAAAATATGGGAAGAATAACATGATCTCGTGTTCTGCGGAACTCCATGACTTTTGTGAGTTCCTCGAGGCATCTTCTTGAACTAACATATTGTATAGAAAAGATGATGATGGAAATTTCGGAACTTTCAATAATGCTTGGCAACAGTTCAACTGAGATATCATCATCAGGAGCAGAAATTCTTGCTTCCCTTAAGGATGAATAGAGACGAGAAGCCAAAGATACTTGAGTGTCTTCCTCTCTACTAAAACTCAAGAATATTTCATATTTATTGCCTACAATTTATACAAACACGTAAAAGGAACTGTACACGATAATATTCATTGTGCATATGTTATTCAAGAGCCAAAAAATATGTAATTCATTGGTACTCAAACCCAAGAAATAATACATGTATTTTTCTTGCTTTTCTTCATTTTTCTTCCTACCAAACTCTGTCGGAGAAGCAGTTGTGCAGTTCATTAAAAGACGCGTTCACATAGCATTTTGTCTCTAGGTGCAAAATCAAATTGTTAGCCCCCTCTAGCCAAATCCTGAGTTTTTTCTTTTCTAGGTCAACCGTCTGCGCGTTTTGCCCGAAAAGAACAATCACACACACACACACACACCTCAGGGGCCCTATAAGTCTATAAAGACTATAACGGAAACAATGTGCATTTTGGCCGAGGGGCAGATCTTTTTCAAAAAGAACAATACTAATATGTGTGTGTGTGTGTGTGTGTATTGGTGGGCGAATTATTTTCCACTGGGAACTGAGACAGTAGCAGAAGCAGAGATTGCCAGGCGAACGGTTCCCTCTATTATATCAGTTAGATCATACTGGTAAAAAAATGTTGAGTACAAGAAAATTGAGAAAGAAGAAAGGGAGGTGGAATTAGGGTCACCGTTTAACTCAGTTCTCTCACACACCCACGAGAAAAACAGCGTCGGGGAAGTGAGGGGGTGACAAGACGGACAAGCAACAGGATGAGGCTGGTGGGCCTGAGTTATAGGTACAAGGACTAGAGAAACACGAATGTTTTAAAGAAGGCGGAATCGGGCCAAAATGGAGCACGCAAAGAGTTTCAATTGCGGATTTCTGATTGATAAGAGGAAGTGGGGTTGACCAGATCCGACTGAGCAACAATTCGTGTTTATGTGAGACCAGGGAAGATTTCTGGAGAGGAGAAAGGGAAGGGACTGATCACGTGGCAAATGAGTTGGATTATTGGGTGACACCTAACACGCGAGAGTCTCAGTCAAATAAAACAATTTAACGCTCAAATTTAATTATTTCCTGAAATTTTTATTATTGGTCATCATTTTTTTTTTCCAGTCATGATTGAAGCATTGTCAGTTTATGTGAGACTACTTCCCCCCGGTAGATCCAAACTCCCTGATATTATTAGTCATCACCTAAAACTATAAAAGGATGTGATTAAGGGAAAAAAACGAAACCTAATTAAAATGAGGTGACAACTACAAGGAAGTAATTGGGAGATTGGAATTAAAAAAAAGAGAAAATTGGGTAAAAAATAAAAAGAGAGAGAAAAAAATGCAGATTGATATTTCAAATGGAACAATAAAACAGAATAAAGAAATGAAAACAAAGGGAACGGATTAATGATTTTACCCTGCCGGCTCGAAGGTTCGTTCCCCAGATCCATGGGATCTTCCATCGGAACAAACTTGAAAGATATTGGAGTGCTGGAACGACCAATCGTTTGGAGCAACTAGCATCATCATCGATCAACCAAAGGAGAAAGAAGGAGAGGAAGAAGAAGAATTAAAAATGGAGCCCCTAGCATCATTATCAGTCAAACCAAAAAAGAAGGTGCAGATCGAGCGGTAAATTTACCTGAGAATTGCCGCCTTGCTGGGTCGGTGAAAGAGAGCGACCAATCTAGCTTGCGACAAAGATCAGAGAAGAGAGAGGCAGAGAGGTCAAATTTACGAGGCCTTTGCTTCTGCCGGGGAGAGTGAGCTAGGAGTGAATTATTAAGAGGGGAGGCTCCAATGGGCACCATTGACTTGACTTCGGGAGGAGGAAAAAAAACTATTAGTGGTTGTTATATAAAAAACTAGTTTATTAATTTAAGTAGTTAAAAAAATTAGTGAAGTTAATTATTTGTAATAAATAGTTGTTATCTTCCCTAAAATACTTTTGTTAATCAAGTGTTATTAACCAGAATTACTATTTAATAAAATATTTAACATTGCAACTACTACAAATGCTATCTAAAAAAATAAATAAATGTGAAAGACAAAATAAATTAAATTTTGAGAAAATAGCAAACAAAGATCCCCAATATGTGAAATTGTGATTTGGGACCCTCAATTTGGAAAATGACAAATAAACACATGGTCCCATATTGTGAATATGAAATCTTGGTAAAATGTTTGAAATGCCCTTCAAACAAATTGTGATTTGGTCTACTGAAATTGTTATTCGCTAAAGTGAACTTATCATTTCTCATAGTCAACTTGTCATTTAGCATACTCTCAGCCAAGTTATGATTTGGTCCACTAAAATTGTCACTTGCTAAAGTGAACTTGTTATTTCCCATAGTCAACTTATTATTTGTCATCCCTGAGTTGTGATTTCAAATATTTTACCAAGATTTCATATTTATAATATGAGACCAGATCTTTATTTGTCATTTTTCAAATTAAAGGTCCTAAATCATAATTTCACATATTGGGAGTCTTTATTTGCCATTTTCCCAATATCCTTTCCATTCCTGAAATGCATTTTTGGTTGTCTAGCTCTCTTCTTCTGCTAGTCATTTCATCATTATCCTCTCTCCAAATTTTATATAGACAGAGTAACAGAAAAACATCCATATCCTTCCTTCCCTCTTCATCTTTCTCCATGTTTATGTGCCATCTAGAAGGAAACAATAACAAAACGGACTTTTTTTTTGTGGTGTGCATCTCAGCTATCATATGTATGATGATGACAAATACATGCGGGGGCTCGCAAGAACGAAGTCGAATAAGCTGGTAAAGGCTCTGAAGTCGCAATCATCAAGTGAATCAAAAGGGTTCGTGGTCGAGCAGGCAGGAGTGCGGGGCGCAGCAAAGTAACTCGGTCAAGGAATTCAAGTCGGCGGATTAGGGCGACATCACCGGGGAGAAGTGAAGGAGGAAAAAATGCACATAAGGGAGTCAAGGAATGCCCGGTCGAAGTTTGAGCAGGACAAATGAGCAGCGTCGTGGCTTTGAGCCGAGCTTCAAGTGCTAGCTTGGGCCTCTCTTTCTTATGCACCAGTTTCAACTGAGTGGGGAAGGCGGAGAGAGAAGTCGGGGAAGGAGATGGCCGAGTTGAGAGAAGACATGCTAGCGCCTATCACCCTGACAGTAACGGTCTTATAATGGGAGGAGATTAAAACTGTGCAAACAATAAGGATAGGATAACTAGGTAAGAAAAAAAACTATAAGGACTCATTTCAAAATTTGATGAACCATAAGGACTAGCACATTAATTTTTTTAATATAAAACACAATTGATTAATTTAAAAAATTTAAGAAAACTAAAACACCACTTAATTATAGCATATGTTAGTGATCTCTCTCAAAAAAATTTATATTTGTCATTAGATTATATATCAATTTATAAGTTGAGCAAATTATTTTAGAGAAAAATAATAAATATAATATGTTAAAATAATTTATTTTATTTTATTTATTTTTTAACTTAATTAAATAGGTGTTATATTAAGTACTGAAAGTAGTAATTCAATAGACCTTTTCCTTCTTTTGGCTCAGTGCTTATGGTTGTCTTAAAAAAAAAACATGTGATCTAATTCCCATCTGTTTACTGTGAACTAGAATTAACAAAATATTAGAGGGAATGTTGCGTGTGAACTCCACTTTGCTGGATTGCAGTGTATAATGCCCCTTGCATGTATTTTGATGTTTGAGTAGGGAATATATGGACGCAGACGTTTATTTATTTCAGAAGCAAACTTTTCAATTTGTAATATTTTATATTTGTACTTGTATGCACCTTTTATTTGGATTTTCTATTCATATGCAAGATGATTGTTTGTTATTCTCTCGTACTGTATATATGTTTCTCCGAGTGGAACTAGTCTTGAAGATTACTTCTCCATGCGTCAATCCCTTTGTCAAAATGCAAATGGAAATGGATATTTAAAACAGATTTAATGATTAACTACTAGTTCTGATAAATTAATTAAAAGTGGTGCCTTTGTTGCGTATAAGGAGGTTGATAAAATGGAGATGGATATGAAAATAGATAGATGGAGATAAAGATAGGGTTTAAAAGTGTGTTTGGTCTTTTCATGAAATCTCGCATCTACACCGTTAGATTTAATGACCGTTTTAATGGTAAAAGGCTAATGTCAAACCATAGAAGTTAAGGATGCAGTTTTTAAATTTTTAAAAATGAAGAAAGTTATATATGCAATAGAGCTAAAGTTAAAAGGGATTATATGTATTTTGGCCTTCTTTGTATAAGAAATATTTTCTCTTATAATGATATTTCTAAATATAAAAACAAATTTTTTATTTGAAATTTTAAACTTGTCTTTCTATTTTTATCCTCATTAAATATATCTCACTTATTATCTCACTATAATAAATTTTCACTTATTATTTCTCTTCAATAATTTTTCACTTTTTTTATCTCTCGTGTATTTTCTTTAGTATTTATAAACAAAATTATAATTAAAGATATATGTTTGATATTTTTAATTCAATTTAACAAACATTTTAAACTGTATGATTTTAACAGTTGTTTCTTAAAAAAGGGGGAAGTAGCAATCGAATTTTCCTGGCCAAAGTTCTTTGGCATTGTGATTTGCAACCTATAAAAGGAGCATAAAACCTAAGTTCAGAGAACACACTAAGCTATGAGCTTTCAGGCAGCTTTTTTTTCTTCTTTAGTATTTTATCTAGATGAGTTCTTCTATCTTTTACTGTTCAACTCGCCCTGCTCCTGTAAGAAGAATCTATTTAATCCTATAGAGTACTACATCTTGCTTTGATGGTAGTTGTCTTTTGGACTCCCGAGTTTGAAGTATCCTACTTTCACGCAATTCACAAAGGATATTATTCGTAGGACATGACTAAGATTTATTGTTTCTTTGTAAATGCTGCCATTAATAGGATTTGCATAGCATTATAGAAAAGTTAGAAGATCAGCTGAATTTTCAGAGAATTTGGGTGGTGCTGCCAACAACTAAGACAAGTTTGGTATGCTGTTCCGGTGGGAAAATATTTTCCATGAAGATGACGTTTTTCCTTGTACACAGGAACAATTTAGTGGAACCAAGGCAATTTTCCATTGCCCGCCCAAATGTGGGAAAGACAAATTTATCCCTAAAAAATATAAATGCGACGACACAGCCTCCGTCTGAACTTTTCAAGAGCCCTCCAAAACTTCCACGACTTCCATTGTTGCATTTTTCACTTTTTCCAGATCCATTAGATATTCCTATGTGTTCTTCTGTTCAGCTTCGCTTACTGTTTGTATAACATGTTTTGGTTCAAATGCATCAAGTTTGACGAGGGTTCTTCTCCAACACACGAAGTTTTTGGATTTGCACATTACTCTGTTTCACCACTTGAAAAATAGAGGTGAACAAAATGGGCTGATGAGCAGGAGGCAAATTCAAATTTATTAAACAAATTCGAATTTTGTTAACCTTGCAGAGTAAATTCGAATTTCATTAATAAATTTTAATTCCAACATTCATAATGGTGTTGATCTGAACCGATACAATCTCTAGGATTCATAAGGAAGTAGTTGCGCGACGTGGGTTTTTGAATTTGAAAGAGGGAGTTTGTGCAATATGCTATATGGGAATATATTCATTGAGGTTGAATTCGCAAGATTTCCGACACGTTACTGTTTAATATTATTTAGTTGTTTATCTAATTTTGTTATTGTTAATGATTGTCATCATACAAGGCCATCAATTGCGAAATAAAATAGATTTGATATGTTAACTTAACAAAACGCAATTTTTTTAACATTTACAGTAGTTTTTAGTGAAAATATATAATTAACTTTTATATTCACATTGAATATTTATATTTAGCCTTAAACTAAAAACAATATTTATATTTATTTATTTAAATTATAATTGTTGTAAATAAAGAAGAAGAACAGAGAAGAAAGAATATCAATAAGAGAGAGTATTTCTCTTTCTATTCAATGGGGTGCTAAATACATTGTACATGGCCTCTATTTATAGGCACGGCTTTACATCTTTGATAGAATCTACAGATATAATAATAAAAGATAATTGCAGATAATGGGGATAATGGGAGATATTGAAGATACTGGGAGATAAGGGAGATAATGATAGATACATGGACATCCATAAAGATATTATATTCATAACACTCCCCTTGGATGTCCATAACTAAATATGTGCCTCACTAAAAAACTTCTACTAAGAAAACTGTGGGACAAAAACTTAGTAGAAGAAAAAGAGTGCAACATTTATTGATATATATTTCATAGTGCTGCCTTGTTAAAAACCTTGCTAGGAAAACCCAATGGGAAAAACCATAGACAAGGAAAAAAGAGAACAGCATACATTTACTCCCCCTCTTGACAATGTCAGTTGATATCTCTGAGTCTGCGAAGCCCAATGTCATGAACAAGTCTCTCGAACGTGGTGGCTGGAAGTGATTTGGTGAATAGGTCTGCTAAATTTTCGCTGGAACGAATTTGTTGGATATTGACTTCACCATCCTTTTGAAGATCACGAGTGAAGAAGAATTTTGGGGAGATATGCTTTGTTCTGTCTCCTTTGATGTACCCTTCTTTTAGTTGGGTAATATATGCAGTATTATCTTCGTACAGTATTGTTGGGATCATTTTACCAGAAGACAAGCCACAAGTAGTTCGTATGTGATGTATTAAGGACCTTAACCATACACATTCTCGACTTGTTTCATGCATTGCTAGAATCTCCGCATGGTTAGATGATGTGGCTGACATAGTTTGTTTCATAGATCGCCATGAAATGGCTGTACCGCCACATGTGAA